AAGCCGGTAAGTCCGGCAAGAAATAGGGACAGCACGGCCCAGGGTCTGCCGACCCTGGAGCCGACCATCGACCGACAGAGTTACACGACCGAACTTGTACATTGTGCTACGAGCTGGTCGGCACCTTGCCGGTGGTGCACCTGTCCTTCTTCGATGGTATCGGGATTGCCTCCGAAGCACTACGACGAATCAATGGGCACATTCTCCTGACCCTGTCTTGGGAGATCGACCTCGAATGTGCACAGTTTACCTCACAACACTTCGGATCCATACAAATGGGGGACGTGACACAGTTCGACATCGAGACCGTCGCGGAACACATCGATGCAGCTACTCTCCATCAACAATACATCATGGTGATCACCGCTGGACCACCTTGCCCCGATTTTTCGAACCTGCGTCACCGACCCCCAGGCTCCGAGGGCACATCTGGTTGGCTTTTCGGTCACATGGTGGGCATCGAACACCAACTCCGCAAACGCTTCACCGGCATCGCCATTGAAACGATCTTCGAGAACGTGGTCCCTCACCCAGATGTTCACGACAACTTGCTTGAGCTCACATCGCCACTGAGTATGGACCCCATAGTCGTCGATGCAGCCGACGCCGGAATCATGCACCGGAAGCGGCTGTGGTGGACATCGATCCCTTGGAACATCATCGAAGAACGCCTCCCACGACTCACACCTTGGTCCTTGGACTGGAAACTCGAGGGAGAATGGCACCGCCTACACAACCCGATCGCTACGGAATTGCAGGCACACATCAAGACGAAGGACTACTCCCTTCCCCCATGTCTCCATAACGACAAGAAACTTTTCCATTGCTTGACTACACCATCAACATCGACTACGGGCCGAGACCCGCCTAAACATCTCCGAGATCGCTCGACTTCACATGACGCGTGGCAACGATGGGAACAGGACAATCGTCGATACCCTGTGTGGCAGTACGAGGAGCAGTTCTTGGTGACACTACCCGATGGCACATGGTCTACTGCACCTGCTACACTTCGAGAACAACTTCAGGGTCTACCGCTGGACTACACCGCCACACTCGCCCAGGGCGACGAAACCAAACGATGCGTGGCTTTGGGCAACTCCTGGCATCTCCCCACGGCAGTTTGGATCATGTTCCTGCTGCTTCTCGGGACCGTCAACGCGACCATCCCCGACACGCCACGATCTTCGGCTCTCCAGCAGATTACTGCCTTGTGGCTACACCACAAAGTCCCTTTCGGTCCTCCTCCACGTTCCACGACACACGACTACATGCCTCAGTTCTCCTGGACGGAACACCTCGATTGGGCACTTCATCGTGATACACACTTGTCCCCGAAGACGCTGGATCCTACCCTCGAGTGGTGTTTACAACACCGACATGTGTTTCACCCACTCGTAGATTTCCAGAAAGCGATCATCGATGACATCCGCGCGCTCGTCGAAGACATGGAGGATCACACCATGGCTTGGTATCACACACTCCCAGAACACGTACAACGAGCATACCGACACAAGGATTCGGTCACACAGATCCCAGTACTCGTTCACTTACTACGACTGATTCAATACCCACAAACAGAGTTGATCTATCGCGAACTCTCCGAAGGTTTCCCCTTGATGGGCAAGTTGACCCCAGGCATCAACTGGCACGTTCGACAGGACCTTAAATACCTCGAACCCACACCGATCGACGAGTTTGGTGACAAGAACCGACAGTACATCCACGACAAGATCGAGAAGAATTCCATCGACGAACATTGGGAACTGATGCTGGGCGAAATCCTGGCCGAAGTCGACATGGGACGCATGAACGGACCGTATCAGGCCCCCGACTGGTGGCCCCGTGCCGCCACGGTACCACCCAAAGGGAAACATCGAACCCTGTTACCACTACCACACTCCGATCCCTACATCGCCATGGCTTTCAGCATCGAACAGACCGGCAGCGACGGCAACAACAAAGTCAGACGGGGCGAGGATTGGCGCCGGAGTGGCCACAATGCGACCTGCACCATGCACGACCAGCCGTACCATCACACACCCGACCACTTTATTTCCTTGGGACTCGCCACACTACGAACCGATCACTCGAAACCCTTGTCTGTTTGGGGACATGACCACGACGGGGCTTATCGCCAACTTCCACTTCGTGATCCTCGAGAAGCCTATGTGATGTTGTTGACCCCGGACGGCCCAACGCTGTGGAGCCACAATGTCCTTCTTTTCGGATCGGCCGCAAGTGTCTGGTCTTACAATCGATTCGGCGACATTCTCGTAGCCTGCAGCCGAACGATGATCTTGTCTCCGGCCATGCACTACGTCGACGACTACGGATCCATGGAGGACTCCGACCTCGCCAAAGGCAGCTTCGAGTCCTTCGAGGAGTACAACGGATGTCTCCAGATATCGATGAAGCCCAGTAAACGCCAACCACCGCAAACAGCACATCGTATACAAGGAGTCATCATTTCATCCGACGACACCAACTTGGTCCTCACACCTTGCCCGAAGAGAGTCGAAAACATGTGTAGACAAATCGACACACACCTGACTACTTCGTCACTGTCCCCCGAGCAAGCCAGGAAGATGGCCGGGAAGTGCAACTTCCTGACTGGGAGACTGTTTGGCAAGGTGGGTCGAGCGGCCTTGAAGGCACTTTATTCTCGAGCTCACTCCTATTCACATGCCCTCGACAAGCCTACACGCTCATCACTACTAGCCCTCAAGGACATCATACAGCACTGCCGACCAATGACGATACCACGCACACCGACCAAGCCGACATACAGCGTCATCTATACGGACGCATACTTCCGGCTTGGCTCCACCATCTACAAGCCGGGAGACAGCGACATCCCTAATTGGGACTCGAAGTCGACGTCCGACATCGAAAACGGCTGGGCGGCGGTTTGCTTCCACCACGGTGACGTGCGAACCGCCGCCTACTTCCAGGGTCGTCTGCCTTCACTACTTGTTCGACAGTTTGCCTCCGACCAGGCCTTCATCTACCTTCTCGAAGCATGGGTAGCGATACTGGCACCGTTGGTCTTCGAACCATGGCTGGATCAGTTCTACGTTCAATGCTGTGACAACGAAGCCTCCCGACATGCCCTGCTCAAGGGCGTTGGCAAACATCAACCTTTGAATTGCCTCATTGCGGCACATTGGACTTGGCACAATCGACGCAGTATTGCACATCGACTTGAGCGGGTACCCACCAAGGCGAACATCTCCGACGGGATCAGCCGCTTTGAGAACGTTCCGGAGTCTGAGAGCTGGACTAAACTCGATTTACCTCTCAATGCACTGACGAGTAGAGCTGCGAAGATCATAGGAGATATTCATTTTGCTTCCTCGACGGGTTTTTCCGACTTACCCGAAATTCACCGATTGCACGACCATTTGCTTTCGATGTTACGTTAATGTTCTTTCGAGTGGCGTTCGCCTGCGATGGGAGGACGCGACCACACTCGATGGGAACCAGTCGGTCCTCCCAGCGGAAGGAAAGATCAACACCGATCTGTAAGATCGACTACTTCGATCTGTAAGATCGAAGCGCAGACTTAACGCCACCGAAGCGGAAGCAGTTGGAAAACACCTCCGCTTCAGCCAGGGATTCATGGCCTTTGTGTGAGAATTTCGTTGTCGTGTAGCACACACTTGTTTGTGCGAAGTGACAACTTCATTTCTCACTTAAACACCGAATCGGTCAGGGGATTGACTCACCGATTCATGTCGAATGATTGTATACTCCGTGGCCATTTTGGCGAAAGCTGTTACAGCTTGAGCGAAATTTTGTTTCACCCACCCGTCCCGACCCTCTTTCATATTACTTTCGATTTTCCTCTGCTTCCTGTCTGCGAGAACCGCCTGGGAACCAGTCGGTCCTCCCAGCGGAAGGAAAGATCAACACCGATCTGTAAGATCGACTACTTCGATCTGTAAGATCGAAGCGCAGACTTAACGCCACCGAAGCGGAAGCAGTTGGAAAACACCTCCGCTTCAGCCAGGGATTCATGGCCTTTGTGTGAGAATTTCGTTGTCATTGTGGGATATATATATATATATATACAGATATATAAGTGTATATGTACATGTATATGTATATATACATATGTATATATATATATATATATATATGTGTGTGTGTGTATGTATATACAAGGTGTATATAATCCACATGTTACCTTGTGTGTGCATATATATATATGCATGAGCTGTCCTTGTTTTGAACTACTTAACATATGCCGTTATGAACTACTTATTCTATACCACATATTATGACATCTTGTGTTTACATATACATAGAAACATACACATATATATATATACATATATATATATATATGTATATACGTATATACATATACACATATACAAAGTTAGTTCGCATGTGTACATCATCACTGTACATGCGTAGTGTTGCATTTTACAGATTGTGTCGCATGTTTAAGGCATTCTTATCGTAGGTCATGTTACAACATGCTTATATGCGTTATGTGGTTCATTCTGACTTGTGTCTGAGTTGTATGCTGCATGATGTATCATTTACCTGTTCCCCCCCGACACACACACACACACAAATGTTGTTATGTGTAGGAAAAGAATATTTTCTGTTATATGATGTGTATATATATATATACATATAAATATACGTGTATATATATATATACATATGTACATAAATGTTATAGCTTTATCTACGATATACTGTGTGCTTTACACAGTCTCAACTCGGTTACATGTTACATGTTTTACATTGCATGCTATATGCTCTGTATTCTATACCTTGTCCCTATAATGTAGAAGACCTCCGTATTCATGTCGTGTGTGCGGGTGTTGTTTTGGCTACCATTAACATGAACCGCCGGTGGTCGATTGAGGCGGACAATGTCATTGTCTTGCCAGCAAATCCGTCAAGTGCGTAGCCGTGTCCACTTTCAATTACTGCACCAACACACAACTTCAACGCTACCGAACCAAAGACTATGCTCCCAGGCGCATGTGAGAAGGCATCGAGTACCTCGCAGCCGCGCTTGCCCGCCAACCTGCCGCAAGTGCACAGCGTTAAGATCCCGACTGTTCACAGGTTCGATGGCTCTTGGTATTCACTGGTTGTGGTGGTGGTGGTGGTGGTGGTGGTGATGGCGGCAGTAGCACTGGCACTAGCACTGGCGATGACAAGCGCAGTAGAAGTATTCTTGCTTGCATTCGCACTCCTACTCCTACTCCTATGTACTCCTCCTCCTCCTCCTCCTCCTGTTCCTCCTACTGCTACTGCGACTCCTACTCCCACTCCCACTTCTTCTGCTGCGACGACGACTGCCCCAAGCCCCTTGGACCCCTAAGGCCGGAGCCCGAAACTCTGGGAGCAACTGGCGGAATGCCTGGGCACCGGCCCCTGTCGAATTGGGGCTTCGGCTTTTACGGTGGATGTGGGGGCAGGGTGTAGGGTTTAGGATCTGTTACCTTGGATGTGGGTGAGGGCGCAGGGTTCCGCAGGCTTCACGGAGTGAGTGTACTTCATGTTTCCAGCGTCTTCCATCTATCTGCCAAAACCTGGGACCAAACGATCTTTCCAAAGGAGGAACCACGTTGCAGAAGCAACCGTAGCATTGTCAGCATTGTTTCTGAATCTGCCTCTTTCGGAGGTCGGGCGGCATCGTGTGGCGTCTACTGGTTTGGGGTTAACGCTTGATTCGGAGCATTGGCTTCAGGTTGTCTTCAGTTTCAGGAGCTTACAGCCTTGGTTTAGGAGTTTAGGATCAGGGTCAGAGATTCTCGGCTTCATTGTTGAGAGTTGAAGAGGCTGACAGTTCCGTTCGTACCCGTTACCTAGTAGCTGCATTGCTTTGGTAATGTAGGGGCCTTACTATTTCGGCCCTACAGTGGTGTTTTGCATTGAAGACTCTCCTGAACCGCCATGCACCCTCAAGAACTGGATGCCAGGCCAAAGCTACAAACCCAAAGTCCGAAAACCCTAAATCCCCGCGCTCCCCGTGAAGCCCCACCCTTGCTGGAGCCTAAAACATATGGAAGCATAGCAGGTGTGTAGGATAGGGGTTGCAGGGTGACAGACTTCTGTAATTTGGCGTGGCAAGTAATTACTCATGTAGGATCGCGTAGGGTTTGCGGAATATGCACAGCCTCAACCCTTAGCCTGCGAATCTGATCCCTAATCAAATCTTTGAGGCTGCTCTGGAATCCATCCCGCAGAAGCGCCTGTCTTCCAGCAAGGCCACTTCCTGAGTCTGGACGTGCGTGTATTTCCAAGAGTTCTGGTTTCGGTTCCTGAACCTTTTTATGAGGTTCGACAAAACTGAAAGCTTGTTAGCTTTGGATGTAGCTTAATTGCAGGATATCTCGGACTCCTCAGCTCTTGCGTTTACACATACCACATCGCTTATGTTCAACTTCGTTTTCATTTTTGGGCTTGGTCAAAGCTTCCTCTGGGCTAATTTTCCGGCTTTCGCGAACACCAACATGCCCATTCCGAGCGATTCTTGATTGCTCGATTCTTGATTCCTTCGCTTTCCCAAAGCTAAGCACCCACAATTGGCCAAACCATGGGTTCTTTTTTGGTAAGTTGTTCGGGTTTGGTCTCGACAAAACAATGCATGTTGGCCAGTTTTCCAAGTTTGGAGAACACCTACTTTGCCGAATTGAATGATACCCACGGCGCCCACCATTTGCAAAACCACTCGCCTTTGGGCATGGTTTTCGGATTTGGAAAGCACGGAAATGGCAAAGTGCAAAGGTTGCTGATGGTTTTGGGCCTCTCCCAAAGCTCGCAGATTTGGCCAAAACATAGTAGCTTGTTGGCCTTTTGTGGCGGGGTCTGTGGCAAATTCCATTGGTTTTTGGTTTTGCCATGTTGAGGTTCCCAAAGCATCCGACATTAGTGAAAGCTGCAATCATGGTTTTGCGAACTTTGCGCAGAGCCGAAAGGGCCACCTGGGGCATCCTTCGGATCAAGTTCGCGACCGAAGGATGGGGAAAATGCAACACCGGACAGTTTATCCAAGGCCAAAGCAACAAGACAACAAACCCCCAAACCTGGCTGCCCTTTGCCAGTCTTGGGCCCCTTACTGGCGACCCCCAAAGCCAATTGGGGCTCTGAGGTGTCTTAGGGCTTAAGACCTTAGCGTAGGGTGCAGGCGTCTTTGGCTTGGAATTCGGTTGTCAAGGCTTTAGGTTGTCATCGCTATCCATGCTTTTGAACACTTCGTCGAAGATATTTGGAACATCCGTTGAACTCGAAACCTTGACAACCACAATCCTGAAACCCTAAAGGCAAAGACCCTAAACCCATACACCCTAACTCTAAAAATGCGACGCTTTAGGCCGAATCTCATCGAAACCCCAAACCCCAAACCCAAAGATCCTACCTCCTGAACCTTTAAGCACCCCCAGACCCTAAACGCCCAAAACTCCACACTCCAAGCCCCTGTCAGCCAAAGGCTTCCTTGGGTGGTGCCTTGGTGCAGGGAAGCTGGGAGAACGCTGGAGCACTGCTCAGGAGTGCCGGGATGCTGAATATGCCGGTCGTCGTCACGCCACACAATCTTAACCTCAAGGTTTGGGCAGCAGCAGCAGCAGTGGCAGGAATAGTAGAAGCAGGAAAAACAACAACACCAGAAGCAGTAGAAGTGGTAGTACTTTGCAGCTGCAGTACCACTGTTCGTATCAGTTTCAGCTTTCATTATCGTGGTCTTCTTTCGTTTCGCCGTTCCACAACTGTCAACTGATTTGACTGCTGTCCTTCTATCTGTTATCTGCCTGTTTGACTGCAGAAAAGCAGTGCCTAGCTGCTGTCTCGGAGACTTCACGATCAGGAGCTTGGCGGCCGCCCCATGGCGTCAAATGTCTGAGGGAAGCGAAGCACACATCATATAACATGCCCCAGTGAACTTGATGCCATTGGTTGGGCACGCAAATCATCGCGGAGAGGTCTTGTCAGTGTTTTTGGTAGAGACGGAACGAAACGAAGCCTGCTGAAGATGGGATGAGGTTTATTGCTAACCTCAGGTTCCACCCCCCATGCTCCCTTCAGTCAACAGGCTCGGGTGTGAGAAGTCATTGTGCAGGTTGATTGTAAGACTTTGGTAGTTCCGTGGGGCCGTAAGGTTTGAGCTTCGAAGCCCTATTCAACTCTAAATCCTCGACTCCGCCACATCATAGATTCCAGTTCTTTGAATGCTGTTCCAACTGTATTAATCCTTCAGCATCGTGTATAGTCGTCTTGCGCCTCATCCCGAGGCATGCCTCCGTCTCACCACCTCTACCCTCAATGCGTGTGCGCCCACGGCGTGGCAGCGCACTGTAGCAATGCTCAGGCCTGGGGCGTTAGAGCTTTGAGGTCAGGTCGCGGATAAGAGGTTGGGGTAGGTGTGTCTCTCCGTCTTGCTGGAACAACGCTTCTGCGAACAAGGTTGATGTCAGTTTTGTAAATGGAGTCGCGGTGCCAGCCCGCAGTTGCAGTTTAAGTGGTAGTAATCGTGGATGAGCCGGTGATAATTTTTAGTTGATGCTTGCACTGTGCATGATCATTCCAGCATTTTCCTTGTTACTATTGTTGCTTAATACGAATGTTGTTGGTAGTATCTCGTCCCAGCAACATCTTACGCCTGTACAACCCTACACAGGAATCAAGTTTCTGGGCTGCGGTCGAATAAACCCGGAATTTTAAAACGCTCTTTCTTGCAAAGCTTCGGGACGTCAAACCTGGCGCTGTGCTCTTCGCTGTCGTTTGCATCCTAGCATTCTAGCTCGCTTCTCGAAGCGCACTCCCCCCAGATCTGCCTAGGAAAGAGGTTCTATTTTACATATTATACATATGCAATTTTCAGGTTTTATAGGTTCTGTAGCCTTATCGTTGAAGGCCTCATGCCACAATTCCCAACTCGAACCTTTACAGAGGCCAGAAGCCCTGCTTCTTACACTCCTCTATGCCTCCATGCTTTAAAGCCCCAAGGACTTAACATGACCAGAAACTCGAAGACCTCTGGTTTCGAGAAACATCATGCCCCCCGAATCTGCAGACTTCTGGTGATCACACGCCTGTGTGCAAGACTCATACACGTACCATCCCATGCGTATACAACCTATCATCTTCTGTGTAGTGTGCACAGTATATGTATATAGATAGATACACAGATAGACAGAGGGAGAGGGAGAGTGTGTGCGTGAGTGTGTAAACAAGCATCAATATGTACATATATGCGCGCCACATAGATAGGTGGACAGACAGACAGATAGATAGATACGGGTATGGATATATGATATAGAATCTAGATACTTGGGTACTAAGATACTTAGATATAGGTATACAGATATACCGATGTATAGAGATATAGAGAGAACATCTAGACAGATGTGGGTCTATTCTATATGTCCACACATATGCCTTCGTTTGAGACCCAGCACTGAGTGAAAAAGGTTGAATGAAGGCCAGCGCAGGCGATCAATGAAACAGGCAAGGGACAACTACAGGCAAACCAAAGCAGGAAACAACACGCAAAACTATGGGAAAACAAAATCAGAACAAAGGCACACCCCAGTCCGTCCACACCCGGCAATTTCTTTCAAACGGTTGTGTTTGTTTATCAGCTTTTAAAATGTAAGGCTGTAGCGGATACTTTTTTTCCCTTTTCGTTTCCTTGCTGCTTGCCTTTCCAGAATCGATGCCCCGCCTTTTTGTTCCGATTCCGTACCTGTTCCAGTCTTTGCGGAAGTCTTTGTTCTACCTGTTTGGATTTAGACGATCTCCTCCTCTTGAAAGCGTTTTTGGGAGCTTAGCATGGTTGGTTTGCATCAGCATTGGGGTAATGCAGGCCCTAAGCCCTGAATCACACGCAACATCTTTCAGGGCACTGCCCACGCTGTTTGTGTGCACGGACGTCGTGACATCGCTGCGAGCCGCTTTTTTGAAATGCGCCAGTTTGCACTCACCTGGCTTCACAATCTGGGTGGGGATTCGGAAGGTGGGGTTCGGTTTGCTAGAATCCAGTCTCAAAGACCTACACCTTAACGTTTAAATTTCGGATCCTTGGCTGTGGGAGCTTGACCATGAGTTCGGAGCCAAGCCTGGTACATCCCCGACATGCCCTGGGCCACAAACTCTGAGCAACAGCCCCCACACCGCACGACCAGTTTCGCGACCCCCGGAACCTCTTCTCAAGGCTGTAGCGGCATTTTCTCGCGAGGGGCGATGGTCCCGTGCCCTGGGTGCCTCAAAGCCAAGTTATTGCCAAGTTAGACACAAACTTGGCGACTGGCTCACATGCTGTTCTGAGCTTCCCGGGTTTTGCAGGCCTGGGATGTCAGGTCGCGAGGCACTAGGAGCTTGAGCGATTTCGTCTTGTGTGACGACACTCGTTGCGGCTGGCTTTCCGCTTTTTAATCGGCCTGGTAAGTAGGAGTAAGTGTCACAATGGTGGGACGAACAGATAGAACAGGGTTCGAGCTGTCTGTTGCAGCTATCATATGTGGATTGAACCAGTTTCCTCAAGCAGGATAGCAATTCTCGTTGCCCGAGATAACAGATAGAAATGATAGATGGCCTTTATCCCAAATCGTAGAAGCCCTTCATCCTAAACTCCTAAAAGCAACTTGCAGAAACCAGAAACAAGTCAACCTATATATGCCTGAAAAAGCTTGAAGCACTCGGGTATTCCTGTAAGTGCAGGGCGAGCAGGGCCTAGACCATTAAGCTCAAAGCACCCCCAGAGCCAAAGCCACAGTCCAGTTCCTTCGGTATTTCACAAAGAGGCTTGCAGGGTTCAGGGAAGTGTGAAAAATAAAGGAGTTCTAGATTCTAGGGCCAAGGAGTTGGGGAGTTCGCATGTGCATAGTCAACAGCTTCGGAATCCTTTTGGGGGGCATTGCAGCTCAGGCATCATGTCCTCGGCGCACCCCTTCGCTTTTCAAGCAAACGTCCGGGCCCCACTTGGCTTCTGACGGGCCTGGGGTTTTAGCGTTGTGTTCAGGGCTGAGGGCAAAAAGAAGATCGCGTAAACTTGAATATCTATGTCGGGCCAGATTTTGTCAACATTGTTGCGAACGCCACTCAGAAAGTCTTCTCCATCTTGAGTGCACCACGAATCGGTACCTTCGCACAGACTTCATTCACTGCTCTGAATCCTGAGCAGCCCCGAAACCCATTCCAGCAGAAATATGCCTACATCATCTTTGTTTCTATGTGGGAATTCCCGTTCCTTACACTGTACATCTTTCCCCGCACCACAGATGCAACCTCCGAATTGACCGCGAGCGAATAAACAACCCCATGCAGCCGCGAATCCCAAAGCCTTAAAGGCACCCCTGACCCGCCCCCAAAGGAAGCACAACCGAAAGCTGATTGGCCCCAAATTCCCAAAGCTCGTGGCCTCAGATCCAAACCTTCCGTCTGCCAGGTTTTAAGCGCCGGCATCGGCGCCACTCCCTGGGCGGCTGCGCTGGCGGTGCTGGCGACCGCGGCGGGGGCAGGCTGTTTAGGGTCGAGTCAGCCTGCTCAGGCTGAGACTGATTTGAGGGCATAGCTATCTATCTATCTATCTATCTATATATATATATATATATATATATATATAGGTTTGAGCAGGCAAATTGACGATATCATTGAACTTGCTGTTTAGATATCTGGAGCAGAAATCGGCCGTCGTGTGCAACAGCTGGCGTATTTGCATAGAGCATGGAATGTAGGCTCTCGGCAAGCTTCTGTACCCCGCTTGTCAACTACCACGACCTATCGCAAACTACTTTTGCGAAAGGGGCCCCATACGGTTCCTGCACGCATACTCGCCTCCACCACTTCTGGCATGAAGGCAACACTTAACTTGGCCCCCGGCCCAACGCAGGTGTCCTCGTGGATCATGTTTGTGTTAATGCTGCCGTGACCGCTCTTGCTGCTGGAGGCCAGGCCAGGCCCCCAACATTGAAGATGAGCCCATCGGTTTAGGGGTCTAGGGTTTAGGGCCTTAGGGTGAAGATGAGCCCAAACGGATTCTTCTTGGAACTGCAGGCAGAGGCGAAGGTTTGTGGCATTTACACTCTGTTCTTCTTGTTGGTCGTGGCGTTGCCGACGTCGTGGTCTTGGTCAGCTCCTGCAGTCTAGCCGCATTCTACTCCAGAGATCGTGAGAACTGAGAAGAACAGAGAGACGACTTATAGAAAAGAGCGCCAGGTTGTCATGGTGGTTATCAAACATGGCCATAAGAACGTTGAGATTTTTAAAGAAGCCCGGGTGACGCCAGAGCCGTTTACGTAATTTCACATTCTTTACTAAACCCACCCCATAAATCAACGCAAAACCCGCACATGGCCTTTTGGAGTACATCGTGCTCCCTGTCACGCGTTCTCTAGTCAACTCGGCTTCCATTATGAAACCTTCTGCAAAGGACTGCGCGTTCTTCGGGAATCATTCCAAATATTTATATAGATAAAAGCGATTGTAGAGAATATCATATCTGTTCTGGTTGTGTGTATTGTTGCTAATGTCAACAGCGCTGGCAAACGAAACCGCAAAAAGAACATTGGCACCGAATCTCTGTTCCCAACCTCAACCCCAGTTCTTGTACTCAGAAGCTTCAACCTTGTTCACAGATTCTGTACTCCTTCATCTTGCAGGGCTTTTCCTGCAAACCCCGATGTCCGAAGCCCTAAAATCACGACGCTTCAAGTGATGCGCTCGTTAAGCACTAGAACTCAGAACGACCCGACTCCCAAACACTGCGCCTAAATCTCAAGCCCCAGGAGTCTGGCACCGAGCTGTCGATTTTTTAAGGTGCCAGCTGTGATCGGATGTAGAGGGTAGGATCTGGGGGTTAGGAAAGGGCTGGGAAAGGGTTTAGGTTTGGGGTTCCTTTTTACCAAAAGTTTAACGGCTTGGAGTCTGGAGTTCAAAAGGAGTGCTGAGGGCGTTGGGTTTAGGGCCTGCTGGTTTCTGCGGGGAGTTCATGCAGATTGACTTTGAAGGTTTGGGGGTTCAGTGCTAAGGGCATTGTTTGCTGCTCGATTTAGCGTTTCAGGTTAAGCTTCAGGGGTTTATGGGTGTGTGTGTGTGTGTGGGGGGGGGGGTCATATGCATGTGTGCATGGATGCATGCATGCTTGCATGTATTATGGATGTATGCTTGTGTGCATTTGTGTGCATTATTATGTCGGCCTGTCTGTATGGTGCAGGTATGTATGATGCTTGTATGCATGTATGTATGAATGTATGATGTATGCATGTATGTACGCACGTACATGTGTATGCATGTGTGCATGTCTGTATGTGTTTGTGTAGATATGTACCTATGTACCTATGTATGCATGTATATGTATGTCGGTAGGTATGTATGTATGAACCTGTTAGAGCATCTGCAAATCTACGAATGTTTACAGGCAGAGAAATACATTACATACCTCAGTTCCTGCACAACGTTTGTCTGTTTCTGTGTGTTCTGTGCAATGACAAGTGTCTTTAGCTGCATGTCCACAATTACATGCATGGAGATTTTTGCACATGACACGATTCTCTAATCTGTGTCTGTCGTTTACGGATAGATCGATATGTCGATGGTGTATCGACGCAGATGTACATCTTGCAGCTGGCCTTCAACTTTCTGCATCTCGACACATGCCTATACCTAAACAGCAATGCTGGAAACCTGCCTGTTACACTGTGCCCTGAATCCCGCGGTCCCGAGCTTCCGATGTTGACTGCAGGGATTCACTGGCCTCCAACATGGTGCGCCGCTGGGCACCAGTAAGCTCTTCATGCTGGTAGCAACCATCATGTTGGTGACACCAGGACTCTTGAACAAATACGGAGTTTTCCGTTACATGTCACCACTGCAAAAGCAACTATTTCAAAACCACCAGCCTCGCATTGATTGTTTGAGCGGTCCTGGTTGGACGCTTGACAACTGTGGTCCGGCCACTTCGTGGTGAGCGTAACAGCATCTAAGGTATGCCCGAAACCACGGTTTATGGCCGGATGTGCCCAGGCTTCAGCACTGCCATTGCGGCTTGCGATGCATCCGGGCACTGGGCTGCTGCAATGAGGATCTGGGCCACGATGCGCTGCAGGCGGCCCTGGACACTCTTTATCGGGCTTTTGGGACATCCTGGGGCTGGTCAGACTTTCGTAATTATTTTCCATAGATTTGACAGGACGGTTCGAGATTATGGTAGTGAAGTTGGGAAGCAGCCACAAGCTTTGAAGTCGTGAAGGAACAGTGTGGAAACAGTTGTCGTGTTAGTCGCAAGACTGGTACCAGCAGCAGCATGTAGTGGTGGTGGTGGTGGTGGTGGTGGTGGTGGTGGTGGTGGTGGTGGTGGTGGCGGCGGCGGCGGCGGCGGCGGAGGTGGTGGTACTCGTGGTAGCAATACTCACCGCCGCCGGTGGCGGCATTGTGCTCATCAACAGGTTTATGACCTCCGGCTTTCATACATATCATTCTTGCTTCCGCTGGTGATGTCTTGTTCTCGTCGTTGCTTTCGCTGACCTCGTTCTTGCGCTGTTCCTTGTCATCCTTCTTGCTTGTCGTTGTTTCGCTGTGCTTGTGGTGCTTGTTGATCTCGTCACCAGCAGATTCATGAGCATCACAGTCGTCACCACCGTCATCGACATCATGACCATGATCATCATGATCCTGATCATTTTCATCGTCCCAGTCATTGTGGTTGTCGTCATGACTACGGCTGCCGTTGCCATTGCGGGCTTGGCCTGCATCTTTGTCGCTCTTTCTTGCTTCATGTTGGATGCATTGTGTTGCTCATGCTTTCTGGTCGGGTCGGATTAGTCCATCAGCTCGACTCACGACCAACACTCGCGCCGTTTAGCCGGAATGCCCTGTTTAGGTCCAAGCAGAGCCTCGTATGTCGGTTCCCTACTCCTGGGCAATTGCTTCCCATAGGGCACAGAGACACCAGGCGCTCAGATTGCGACACCATTTGCTTGAGTCTTGGCAACGTGAAATCTGCTGCACCATGTCTTGGCAGCTTGATCGAATGTACTGCTACCAAAGTTGCTTGAGTGCCATTATTCCCATGTACTTGTTCTGCTTGTTGTCTGAATTGTATTGCTGCAAGACTCACTGGCTGCTCTTATGGTATCTCAGCTATGTGCAGATATGTGTGTGTGTGTTCTTTGCCCAGTGCTAGTCTGGTAGTCGTCCCACTGTACATGGCACATTGATAGCCTTGTCAAAGCAAAATTGTCTCGCTGGGCCTTAGCGTCTTACAGCCTTGAGTCTGAAGACAGGGGCTGCAAGGGACGCGGGTAAGCCCTCATTGCCCGCAGTGTCTGCAGATAAAAACCATACATATATATATATATATATATATACATATACATACACACACACATGAACACCTTTTGTAAACACACATTTATTCTGGGATTCTATGTAACATAGTGTTAAACCCGCTGGAATGCGGCAAGAGTTGTGGATACAGATGCCAAAGCCGGTATACTGCGAACCGCTTCCCCATGGCTCCTTGGTACGGAATGACTCGCTGGGAATTGGGAGAGCAGGGCTCTGGTTGGGAAGAATATTAATTTCGGGAAAACAAGATGCTGTTTATGGAACTTACAGAATACGGCCCCTAGTTTAAATCCAGAAACCTGCTTGGAAGAGTACATTAGCAAAAAGATCATGAAGAGTACAGCAACAAGTATCAAGGAAGGAGCCGGCAATACAAAGTAAGCCTCTGGCATCCAGTGAACCCAGGCATAGACGCATAGTTCGTTATAGTCCGCTTGTGCCTGGGTGTGTGTGTGTGTGTGTGTGTGTGTGTGTGGAACACCTGTGTGCCAAGGTTTGCTAATATGTATGATTTTTGCAGGGGGGCAACCCCGTGAGCATAGCTGGTTGCCCAACGAAGAGGGCTATGCCACGGCTGATACTGGGTCTGATCAACCCAGCGTACCTGCCAGTTTTTTGCAAGTGTTATGGCTCGGGGCTAAGCCGAGAACCCCAATAAGTGTGTTTGATGTTACTGCCTAGTGGCTTAAAATCCTATACCTCTATGTTGAAAGACTGAGTTCCGACAATTATCATCAGTCCAGAGGGAGGATTGCACGAGTGTGCTCTAGACGGCTTTCGTCGATCGTGTCGTCTACGGTAGGATTGCCTACTGCCTGGCCCTGATCGGCCCAGTCATAATCACAGGACCCTGATCGGTCCAAGCCCTGATCGGCTTAAACCCAAAGCAAGACCTCTTGGTCTCAAACTCGAAAATGCTCTACGGAGCAGTCATCTGTAGTTCAAGGCATGATTGCCTAGTTGCAGACGGGACTGATGCCCTTTCGTTTCACAACAGCCGTCAGTCTGATCAAGCAACTGTTCTCCCCTGGACAACTGATCCCGCCATGGCCTCCTGGTCATCATGGTCCACCAGCGATTCCAGCAACAGCTGGGACAACAGACAGCAATGGAATCGATGGGGCAAAGAAGACAAATGGGACTCCAAATACTCTGAGAAATCGTGGGAACATGTAGCCAGCCCCACATATCAATCTTTCTCTTTGCCGTCTTCTCTTGTTTCCGACCAGCAGCACTATGACAAGACCCCTTTGGGCAAAGGTGCCCATGTGCTGCACAAGTTGGTTCAACCAACAGAGTGGTCTCGCAAAGCCGGGTTAGCAGGCCGTGATGTCAGTGACATCCGTGCCTTTGAGCTTTCTCATCGAGGCCTTGGAGATTTCTCATTTCGGTTGCTGTCGGAAGGACGGCATCAGAGTATCGTTTGGGCTCGAAGTGGCCAAGAATCGGTACTCACTACAGCATTGTTGAAGAAGCTTCGTGAGAGTGGTGTTTCTATCGATGAGGCAGCAAAAGCTTGTCACAGCTCAGCTCCTCCGGACAAGCACAAGGAGGCAATGCGATTCATGGAACTGCTTGCTCAAGAACTTCTGAATTGTGTTTTGGCCAAAGCGCCTCCAACAAATTCGGATGCCTCTGAAGAGCTCGCCAAAGCTAAAGCCAAGCTGGCTGAGCATGGCATTGCAATGTCCCCTTTGAAGAGGAAGGCAACTGAAGATCCTGAGCCAGACTGAGAAAAACGAGCAAAGCCCGCCATGCCTATTGCTGAGCCGGAATCCCAGATGGAAGCTGAACAGCTCCTTAAGGACCCTCAACGCAAGCTGGAGACTCGCCCCAAAGTAGCCACAGATGACCATGTCACTGAATGGCTGGCCACTTATAAGAACAAGCCAGAGTTTAAAGGCAAGTACCAGTTGCTTGTCAAGCATGTACAGACTGTTCAGAAGCTTCTCAAAACTGAAGCCTCTAAAGATCAACTGGTTTCAGCTGCCAAAGATTTCGGACTGGATCCGAAGCTGGCATCCAGACTGTCTATCAAGAATCTGTCTACTGTGATTGCTGTTGCACAATTTCAAACTGCTTGACTAGCAGTTCAATGCCAACATCTTGCTGCCTCCAGCAAACAGGGAGTCAAGCAGCAAATTTGTATGTTGGGAGAGGCTGTGACGTTCTTTTTACACCACTGTCCGGGCTTCAACAAAGAGTCGGCACTTTGGGCCCAAGGCCTGCTTCATCTTCTGCTGTTGTTTTACTTTCAAGAAGGCTCTCTATCGTCGCATGCTGAGACTATTCGACAGAAGCTTCAGCAGTTTCGGGTGCACCCTGCCACGTACACGTGGCCAAGATTTCAATCTCAGAATGCGGTGTACATGAAAACAGCAGTGGACTGGCGCCATTTTTCAAGTATTGAGCACTACAGGCAGCCTTCCACATTCATGTACATAGGCTCCACGAGCCAATCAGTTTTTCGAAGAGAGTCTAATAGATTCTCAGAAGCCAGGAAGCTGGCAAGCGGAGGTGAAGCTCAGGCCGAGCTAGCCATCCGATATTGGGTGTCCAATCAGTGTCTTGAGCAGTATACTTTGTTTCTTGTTTCTCCGTGCTCAACTTACAAAGAAGCATGGGTTACTGAGCACTGCTTAATTGGGATGTGGCAGCCCAAACTGAATCACCCATACATTACTTCCTTTCTGAAAAGGAGTGCATTGGGCTTTCGACCCAACAAGAGAGTTCGACACAGTGTGTCCTCTAGGTTCGGGTTAAGACTGTGGAGAAAATTGAGAAAGAAACTCCACAGACAACTTCAGCCCGTTCCTTTTCAGCTCAAGAGAAGGTCGGCATGGGAGATACTGTTCAATCTTACATGCTTCAGCCGTGCCCCCTTTGAAGAGGCAAGAAAGCTGCGAAGCGACCGATACCTTCCCGACGAGATTTACTCCCTGATTCGGTTGAGCAACTGCCTGGAAGAGCCTGGCAAAAGTAAGGCCAGGAAAGTGCTCCGTAGTGTTTGTCAGTTTCGCAATATGTCCTGGCCCTCGGCGGCCCTAGGCTTGCAGTTGAAATTCACTGCATCCCCAAGCTTCGGGTCAGATGTGTCCAGATGGATCCGAAAGCTTGTGTTGGCACACAAGCCGATTCTTATACCTTTTCATTTACCAGTGTGCAAAGTCAGAGAGCAACCCCACCAGTCTCTCAAAGACTTTATGCATAATTTCAAAGACTGGGACCAATGGTTACAGAATCATTGTGTTGCTGATGCACCGTGTCCTTGCAGTTACTACACCAAACTGCTGCCAGAACAGTGCCTCACTAGAGGCCATGTTGTAGCTGGCGTAGAACAACTAGGCAGCCCCCACCACCCCTTTGAAAAACTAGGGAGTGGCAGTGCATCTTCAGCGTTTTTTCCGTCCAAAGGAGAATTTTTCAATCACAACACCCGTATGTTTGCATCTTGGAGGCGCAAGCATTGTCTTCCCAAGGGTGTAGATCGAACTTTTCAGCAATTTCTCGAGCAGCAATGGAGCAAACACCTCGATCACCTGAGCCAAGAAAGTCGGCTCACGTGGAGAGATGTTTCTGCTGCTCGCAGCTTATTGCATCGACAATTTATTGTGCATTGTGAAGACCATGAACCGAATCATCTTATGGTCTTCTGTCCCAAATTCTATCTTCAAGCTGCCATGAAGACCTGGCAGGATCCAGATGTTTTCGAGCCTGTGGAAGGCTCCCAACAACTCTGGAACCAACAAGTTTTCCCACAGATTCCCGGCACACTGAAAAGACGATATCGCTGGGGAATCAATGCTTCCGGCACCCTACCGGTTGGGTTCGTGTTTCTCAAAAGAAAGAAAGAATTTTTGAAGGGGAGGACGATAATATCGTACTCCAACAGCTGTATCAAGAAGTTGTTGATTGCAGCTGCGCAAGCGATCCTTTTGATGGTCCGCTTGGTCTGGCCTGAGGCCATGGGTCTAGCCACCACCCCTCAACTTTGGAAGAAGCTGCATCAGTTTCTTCGTCGCACCCCTCCTATGGTGCATCTTGCCGAGGTCAACGATGATTTGGTGGGATTTTTCAACTCTGTGCCCAGACAGCAAATCCTGGATTCCTTGTCAATGCTTGTACAGCTGTATCAAGACCAGGAATACCCTCCACAGATTACGGTATCCCTGAAAAAGCAACCCAATTGTGAGTCGGCTTGGCCAGGTAAACCCATGGCAAAGGGAGCCAAACACATACGATTTCTTCATGTTTCCGACTGCTATTGTACAGACCTCTTTCGAAGCAGGAGTGTTCACCACTCTTGGCCTGTTGTTCAGGCAACACCGGGGCACATGTATAGGCAATCAAATCAGCCCGGTACTCAGCAGTCTTCCAGTGATTCAAAGAGAATCCTGTTGGCAAAGAGAATGGCATCAGTTCCTGAGTTCAGCTAGGTTTTTTGATAACCAAGCATCGGAACTGTTTGTCTGTAGGTATGTTGACAACCGACTCGTTGTGTGCGACGAGAACTTTCTGTCGCATCAATGCATGAAGGATTTTCAACACCTCTCTTTTTGCGGAGGGACTATCCAGCTGGAAGAAGTCACAAATCATCAATTTCTGGGCTTCCGGCTCAACATGGCCAACAGAACAGTGACCTACCTGCAACCAGACAAAGCCTGGTCTATCAGAAATCCAAGATCAGCAGGGAGTTGGTCCACTCGAATTTCAGGTTATCTATCTCGGAAAGCTTTGATTGTACAGTATGCATGGCCTCCGAGCAGTCGCAAACATCAACTGCAGGGACTCCGCGAATTGTACATAGCTAAGGGTTTCCCTGCAGAACTGCTGACCTGAAAGTGTCAAAATTCTGCCTTTGTTGCTTACTGTGAAGTTTCCGTATCGGTTTGTATTGGCATCAATTCCCATTACTGCGAGCTTGGCTCGTGGCAGCTCTAATAGTTGGCATCCTTTGTGCCCCTGCCATGGCTTCCTATGTGTTTCAATTTTTCTGTGCTGACACATTGAGTAAGGGAGGATCCAAAGGAACCAGCCCGTTAGCGCCTGTTTTGTCACTGCCGGCTCCGGTGGAAGAGCCACATCCTCATCCACGGCCAAGACCAGCCCGGTCGCATCGTGGACGATGTTCTTCCAGATCACCCTCTCGGCGTCGTGAAGAAAGGTCCCGAGGAAGATCAAAGAGGCATCGGCGAAGCCGAACACCTACTAGGGACCGGCCAAGGAGGGAAGAGCCAATGTATCCACCGGGCAATTGGCGAGCACCAGCGCCTTGGGTTCCCCCACCGAGGCCAGTTCTGCCGCCACCTACTGCACCACCGCCTCCACATCATGCTCCCCCGGGGGAATGTTTCTGCATGCTGGTTTCGACCACCGCCGCCGTTGCCGCCTCCTTCTACTCTACCTTTTGCGGCTCCGGATTTGAGGCGACCAGCCGTGCCTCATACACCGCCGAGGCTGGCTAGGCCCAATAAAGCACCGGAACCGGTGGTGCCACAGGCGAAAGCCACAGCAGCTGATCTCCCGGACCCTGGTAAGCAGGCCAAGCCGGCAAAGAAAGGGCCATCAACCTCCAACCAGCTGGCTCCATCGGAAAGCCAGCAACAGATTGACGATCAATTTTTTCGGGGCCTCATGTCTGCCAATATCAATGATGTGGAGGATCAGCTGGAAATCCAGCTGTCAGGATTTTCAGCAGTGGATTATATTCCAGGTGGGATGACCGCCCTGAGCCAGTACCTCTTTTATCGTAAGCAAATTTTGACTGCGCCGTTTCCGGATCAGTGGGTCATGGCACCCTGGCAAGCACTGCGAAGCAATGCAGCCCGAGCGGCACTGGTTCGCAAGTACCAGCGCCCTTTTTCGTCTCTCAAAGACCCTGAGAGACAAATATGTGCTCGGTTTTTGCTTAGTTTGTTTCCAGAGCAGGTGCCATCGAACACCATAGGCAGGGAAGAATTTTTCGGCTTCGTTGACTGCATTTTGCAGTCCAGACTTCATTATGAGAGGCACTTCGAAGAAGGTGCCTCACTGTTTCATGATGTGGAAGAAAATGTAGTTGGATACCGTTTCAGGTGTACAGGTTTTCCCGGCCCACCCCTGGCCCAGCAAAACTGGCATCTCTGGGCACATGCCACTACCAGAGAAGGGGTCACAGGAATTTTGGCTACGGGCAAGATCCTGCCTACGGATCACAGTGTAGCCGGCCTCGAACCTCAAGAAGATACGTTTTCCTTCTACGGCAGAAGTACAACAAACCCCAATTGGGGTGCAGGAGTTGTACAGCTTGCCTGCAAGTGCTACCACTCAACTAAGAATTGTTCTGGAGTGGTATTTGCAGGCTTATTGCCCAGCAACCATGTTGAGGGCAAGAATGCATGCACCAGATATGAGAACAATCTGGCGAGATTTCATGCTTTGGTCCACAGCTGCTCTTCGGACAGACGGTGGGCAATTCGGTTCGCGGCGGCTCGCATTGATTTTGTCTTTGTTCTTTCAGAACGAAGCAAAGCTGACTATCCTCAGCAAGAGAGCCGACAACGCCGCAGAACTAGGCTCAAAGCTGTCGACAACGAGCCTACTTTGGCTCTGGCAGATGGCCCTCCTGACGACAGCTGGGGCCCATGGGGTAATCCTGCAACCCCTAAGATAGAGCTGCCAGATGCAGATGATCCTGAGGAAGAGAACCTCATGGCAGCAGCCGCAGCTTTTTCAGCTGCTTCAGCTGCAAGCTGATTTAATTCGTAGAGCAGAAAAAGATTGTGCAATGTGTGTGGGTGCCTTGCTCAATGTTGCAATACCCTACATATGCAAAGCTATGTCAGGATAGATCGTCTGATGTAAGAATTTTTGGCTCTTATGCTGCCCTCCTTTTGCGGTAGCCATGGATCAAGCCATTGAACATCGGAAGCCTTCACCTGTGGCATTCTGCTTTTGATGCAACATCTCAACCAGTTTCCAAAAGGTGCAAGAATCGTCCTAAGGACGATGATAGTACAAAGAAGACAAAGAAAAAGCAACAGAAGAAGAAGTCCAAAAAGACTTCCAAGTCTTCTACCGCGATGCCATCAAGAACTTCAGATGCTCCGAACTTTTTCGATCCCATTTCGGAAGTTATGTACCCCCTGCCGGGGTCTATCAAGCCACCTGTTGATGTGCCACAACCTTACCAGTTTCGTGGCAAAGCAGCTGCCAAGATGCAAGCCCGCAGTGGCTACAGGTGCTCCTGGCACTATGTTTTGAAGCATCTTTGCCCTGTCAAACTCATCCAGGATGAGTTCGGGCCAACTAAACAGTGAAGATTTTTCTGAGCAGATGCGAGACAGAGCCAAAACAGCATCGTAGTCTCCACCAGCTCTTTGCTTGTTGTGCTGTGAATGTTACTGAATTGTTTCATCAGTTTGGGGCTTTCAGTTGAGATTAGTCAGTCCATCATGTCGGAACGGAGCAGAGCCCGGTCTCCGCAGATTTCGTGGCGGTTTTACTGGTCTAAAAGTACGACAGCTGATGGTCAAGACCGTTGGTGGAAAACGTGGTTCCCTGCTACACAGCAGTGGATCCAGACTCGTCTTACTGCAGATAGGTTGTGGAGCTCAAGCTCACACCCACCTGAGACCACCAATGCTTCCTTCAGTCGCACTGATTGTTCTGAGTCTCCTCGGAAAAGAAAGAGGAGCACTACTCCGTGAAAGCCAAATTTGCATGAATAATTCGATTTTGCCAGCATCTTTGCAGGCCATGTTCATTAATAGTATGTAAAGGTGCGTACCCATAAATGGGACTCGCACCACCATCGCTCGGTGCCATATCACCTGGAGTATCTGTTCGTGTAAAAATGTCCACTGCGGTGTGTCAATAAAGTGATGCCATTCAGGGCTACCCCGCTTAGCGGGGTGTGTGTGTGGAACACCTGTGTGCCAAGGTTTGCTAATATGTATGATTCTTGCAGGGGGGCAACCCCGTGAGCATAGCTGGTTGCCCAACGAAGAGGGCTATGCCACGGCTGATACTGGGTCTGATCAACCCAGCGTACCTGCCAGTTTTTTGCAAGTGTTATGGCTCGGGGCTAAGCCGAGAACCCCAATAAGTGTGTTTGATGTTACTGCCTAGTGGCTTAAAATCCTATACCTCTATGTTGAAAGACTGAGTTCCGACAATTATCATCAGTCCAGAGGGAGGATTGCACGAGTGTGTGTGTGTGTGTCTGTGTGTGCGTGGTGTTAGGGTCAACCGTTTGGTGAACTTGTAACCTTTGACTTCAACCCGAAGTGCGGCGCTCGTTGACGGCTCTTAGATCTCGACTACTCGGAACCCATACCCCCCCCATTTTAGAGCCGTCGCCGTTTAGTTCAGCCTTGCGGGGCACCGGCTCATAGGCCTTGTATTATCATCATGCTACACCAGGCCCCAGTAAAAACTCTATTCCAAATTCGAAAATACTAAGGTGCCTCTATTAAGTATAGGGTTAAGGGGTTTAATAGAGTCAAAGGAACAGCCTCGTCAGCAGCTGCTCCAAGCGCTGGCGCTGGCCTTTGAAGCTCCTGGGCGTCGGGGAGGCGGCAAGGACTAGCCAGATGCCAAGTCTTAAGGTTTCATTGCGGGTTTAGGACTTCGTCTCTGCATTAATTTGATGTGGTTTCTTACTCTTGTCGGTTAAGGGACTACCTGGTTGCTTTACATACCAGGGGTTTAAGCCTTTAAGCTATAGCCCTTCACGTGACTTCTTCCACGAGTGGACCATTGGCGTGAGGAGTCTCATTTCCAGGTTTTTTATAGGGCCTGGGGGCTTAAGGGCCGTAATTATTCTAAGTGGTTTTGGGAAATATTGTCCAGCGATGTAGCTGTCAGTATCGGACAGAATTGAGAGGGAGGAAGCGTGTTGTTTTGCCTTTTGATTGTGTTGCGCCGAGCATTCGCTGTGTTCCTTACATCATCGGAGATGTAACATGCGGCCCGAACCTTGAAGCATCGGGGGTTTGGATGGGGTTTGGGGATGAGAGTGGTGGTGGGCATCATGCTTCCTCTTGTGCGGAATCTCGCAGCCATGATCAAGATCATCATACCGCACACATCTGAAGTATTTCAAGCCCTGACCCCCACCACCTGAAACCCCTACGCCAGCCGCGACTCTAAACCCGAAGCTGCAGATCCTGAACCCAAAACCCCGAACCCTGGACCTCAAAGCGCCGGTAGAAGTAGTCGGGTGAGGATCCGCCGGGACGTCGTGAGTTTCAGCTCGGCGATCCGTCACTTGGATCTGAGATCCGGTCTGATAATCAGGGCCAAGGGTTTAGGGGTTTGCAGTCAGTCGGGATTGGTTTTGAAAGAGTTTATGCCATGGGTTTGCAAGTATTTTCTGAGCTTGCAGGGTTTAAACGGGCGGTTCTTCGAATTAGGACCCATACTAAGGCTGTTCTCAACTAGATCTGTTTGGGGGATCCTCATTGTTTCGAATTTCGAAAGGCTGATACCGACAAACCTGAACGCACAGTTCCAGGGTTTCAGAATTGAGAGCAGGTGGAAACGGTCCTCAGTCTCGTGGGATTTAATTAGGGGTTGCCGAAAATAGGGGACCCTAATATAGTACCCTAAATAGTAGGATCCTTATTATAAGGATCCCCAGCTTTCGTCCCGTGTCCCCAAGCTTCGGGCCGGGCTCACGGTTTCGAGTTGCTCCCGCAGAGGGGCCTGGCGGCCGAAACATTTGGGGTCCTTTGAATAAGGATCCTACTGTTTGGGGTACTTTATGAGGGTCCCCTATCTTCGGAAACAGATGATGGTATTAAGACATCGAAGGGGCAGGCGTGGCATTCATCGCCGAAGAACCAGTGACACGAGCACGTCTGCAAGTCGTGATTGGTCGCAAAAAGACTGCTTGCTGGCTGTCAACGACGAGGACGACGCAGGCAGCGATCCCCTAGTTTTAATATTGGCTGCGAGCTTGGGCCCGCGTCCAGAACCACCAGTATCCCCAGCCATTATTCTGCTGGCGGCCTAGAAGCAGAAGTAATGGCTGGGATGACATCGGGCGTCTGGCCAGTCCAGCCATGTTCAATTCTTCGTGTGATCTGGCCGCTAGCTGGCTCAAGTGAGCCTTCAACCTTAAGGCTGTGTGTTTTCCACACAATGCGGAGGATGTGAGCCCGAAATGCAGGATTCTGCCCTGGCCGCCGCCGTGCTTCAATGCTAATTACTACTACCACTACTCATCCCACTGCGACTGCTGCTGTCACCGCTACTGCTATTGCTATTACTTCTGCTATTGCTATTACTACTACTACTACTACTACTACTACTACTACTACTACTACTACTACTACTACTACTACTACTACTACTACTACTACTACTACTACTACTACTACTACTACTACTACTATTACTACTACTATTACTACTACTACTACTACTACTGCTGCTACTACTACTGCTACTGCTACTACTACTACTACTACTGCTGCTGCTGCTACTGCTACTGCTACTGCTCCTGCTCCTGCTCCTGCTCCTGCTCCTGCTCCTGCTCCTGCTCCTGCTCCTGCTGCCTACTGCTATCGCTACTGCTACTGCTACTGCTACTGCTACTGCTACTGCTACTACGACTACTACTACGACTACGACGACGACGACGACTACTACTACTACTACTGCTACTACTACTACTCCTCCTCCTCCTCCTCCACCTGCTCCTCCTGCTGCTGCTACGATGGCGGCTACGACTACCAGTACTGCTACTACTGCAACGACAACAACTACTACGACGACGACGAAAGCTACTGCTACCACCACAACAACTACAACGGCCACCACGACGACGACTATTACTCTACTATGCTACTAGTTACTTAGTACGACTGCGACGGCCCCAACCTTTGAACGCCACGTGATCGCCACGATACCCTCGTCTCTTTTGAGCTGTGCTCTCACAAGTGCATGTGCATACATGCACACGTCTAAATCGGCAGGAATGTTTGTATGCCGTTCAGAAGGATGGAATGATCTCCGAGACGAGAAGCATGGAACACAGCATCGAAGCGGGGTCATGACAGTTGCCATAAAGTCAACAGCATCAGAAGGCAGCCTGAAAGCTTGAAGCTAAATCCTTAACACCAAAGCCTCAGCGCAACACCCCAAACGTCAAAGGTGGCCTGCAGGGATCTCAGAAGTGGGACCATGCTGCAGAGCTGCTGATGCACATGGCGCGGCTAGAGGCCAGGCCTCGGTTCGAGTTTAGGATTCAAAGTTCGGAGTTTACGGTTTTCGCATCTGAGAATCGGACAAAAGCCATGAAGCTCCGGCTATAGTTGCCTTGAGCCGTTGCTGAGCTCAACAATAGACTGAGGCATGGACGGACACATAGCGTCTGTGGTTAAGAGTAGGGTTAGGGTATATATAGCCTTGACTGGCGAACGCGGTCAACGTAAAGGATCCGCTCAATGAGCCCGGAATCCTTAAGACCTTTGCAGGGCCTTCATCATGAGAACTTGTTGGGACCTTAAACGATTCCTTAGCACGCGGATGCAGCTCTACATCCCAGCCCGAAACCTCAAGGTGCCGCCAAACCTCGTGACGCGGAATGTCGCGCTAGCTGCACAGGGCAGTCGAGGCCGGGCGGTCTTCATTTTGGAGGTGCATGGCTTTTGGGCTTCGCAATCCCTTTCGTCAGTGCATGACTTAGTGCGGAGTTGGGGCTTGATGGTTCTGGCTTATTCGCAGTCGTCGCTGCCGGGTGGTGTGCAGGAGGTGGTGGTGGTAGCGGTGGTGGTGGCCGTCGTTGCAGTAGTCGTAATAGTAGGTGTCGTGGTAGTAGTAGTTGGCATCGCAGTAGTGTAGTACGGTCGAACTCTATGTTTAGAAAACTACATTCCTTCACCTGAGTCTCACGCAT